GTCACTCGTGGAGATGTTCACCGCCGTACCGTACAACACGGAACGCAGACCATTTAGTCACGCCGGCGATTCGATTGGAGTCTGGCAGGCGTAGTTCAGACACGCTATTGTCATCGCATATAACATCTTGCTAAGCGTGACACGAAACCTGCCTGGGAGCCGCTTCAATAGCGAGATAAAGCAGCACTTGTTGACGAGGCAACGTGGGGGGTTGGTTAGATGTGTGCATGTGGGTACACGTGTGTGCATGTGTATGTATGTGTATGCTGACCCAACTGATCGTCTGTTTTATATTAACGACTCCAGGGTACAGGAAAGCCTCAATTACGGGGATGTGCCCTATGACGTGAATACATACGTACGTACATACATACATACATACATACATACATACATACATACATACATACATACATACGTAGATACATATACAACAGGTTCGCCGCCGACGCCTCGGCTGCTCTGCAACTCGACATTCTTTTTTTTTTTTTCTTCGCCGGGACTGGAAAACAGCATCTCTTTTTTTTTGCCTCAGAGACCAGCTTTAGGATAATGCCCCTTGTCAAAACAGACCACGCATTTCGAGAAGCGCTTCCGAACGCAACTTGATGGACATACGCTGCCGCAGAAACACATCTCAGCCAGTCACCTTGGAGGCTCGGTTTAGCACTCAAGGAGTCTCTTTGTAAAAAGGTCTCAAGTATTTTCTAAGTGGCCGCCTCCGTATTTCTGCATCGACATACGCATACATCCGGTCCGGCGCCGACGCCTCGGCTACTCTGTTTACACTACACACCTGGTCCGCTGCCGACGCCTCGGCTACTCTGTCTTCACTACACACCTGGTCCGCTGCCGACGCCTCGGCCACTCTGTCTTCACTACACACCTGGTCCGCTGCCGACGCCTCGGCCACTTTGCGCTTAACACACACGCACACACACACACACACGCACCCCCCCCCCCCCCCCCCACACACACACACATACACACCCGGTCTGCGTCATGCATCGGCTGCTCTGCAACTCGACAGGCATCTAGCTATCGACAGACTATGAACTTCGTTCGTCCAATGTCTGAAACACTGGGCTCAGCGGTGGCAGACGAGACCGAACGAACAATCCGCACACACTGAGAAAACAGTTTCTCCATTTTTGGTCTCAGAGATCAGTTTCGGGCTAATGTCCCCGATTCAAAACAGATCACACATTTTGAGAATATTTTCTGAGCAACGCCATTGATCGCAGAAACAGAGCTCAGTCGGTACCTATTTTCGGTGTCAAGCTTTTAAAAAATTAGTCTCACTATGAAACCAGTTTCTAGTCCGAACCCCAGTTTCGGTATCGCTTGAATCCAGTATTCGGGTACATGAGCCCTTAGGAAGCCTTACTGAAACCGTTTAAAATCAGACACATTTGAGGCTGGTCTCAGCGCTCAATTGAGTCTTTATTCAAACTGCTCTCAAAGTGCATTCTGAGTGCAGGAATCGAGCAAGCACAGACAAAATGCATGCAAGATCATGCCCGGACACAACTACACCGACTACGCCGCTGCCTGCCGGCTCCCCAATCTCGAGACTCCGAGTAAGCGTCGCGACACTGCAATCTGCGGCAAGCTGGCAGCCGACACTTTCGCGAACCCTGCCCACCCACGGTAACCCGTGCGAGCAGCTGCCAAATGTGAGTCCCCACATGCGCTGGCATGCAAGTCGTCATCCCGCAGGCCAGAACGGAGCGGCAGAAAAGTCATCGGCGCCCGTGCTCACAGGCCTCATGAACAGCACGTGATTCTTAGGTACCTGGGTAGGTGCGTTTAAAGTACGCTAACAATGCACCGTTCCTATTTTCCGTGAGGCACTGTGCTTTGCGTGCGGTGCCATCACAGCACCGGAATCCATGCACAACCTTTTCTACCAGTCATTCACGGCCACATGGCCATACAAACCTCATTTATGTATGTGCGGTCGTATGAGCACGTAAACCGGGTCCGCCGCCGACGCCGCGGCTAAGTTGCGCGCAACATAGGTCTACGGGACCGCTGCCGACGACTAGATAATCTGCAGCACGATATCAAAGGCGAAACCAGGCCACTGATCCCAGATTCGCGGCATTCCATTTTAGCCAGCACCGATGACGTCGGTTTAGGCGCCGGGAAGCGTGCCGGGCTAAACTTCGCAACCCCGAGGCCGTGAACACGGGGGTCCAAGACCGACACGGGGACAAAACCATCGGATCGGACCCCCCCCCCCCCCCTGACCGCAGTGCGTCCAGGCATGGCTTCACACACACCGGAATAGCAACGAACGAAATAGGCTGGGCCGCCGGGAACCACAGTCGCCCCTCCCCCCCCCCCCCCGGTGTATTTGGCGTTTTTTAGGGGCCGTCCTACCCTACAAACGAGCCGACGCGAGTGGTTTCGGCCGCTGACAGCCAACTGAGGCGAACGCTTGGTGATAGTGGCGCGGGCAACGGGGGCCTAATCAACTCATAGCGGCGACGCGGCTATGGAAGGTTAGGACCCTGCCCGGGCGCCACTGAACGTGACCGGAGCAAAGGGAGACGGGGGTCGGAGACAGATAAATCACCCCGCCGACAGACGCGGAGCAGACCCTGACTAGGGGTGGTGCGAAGGGGAGTGTAGGAACGGGCGCGCCGCTGGCAGCAGAGCCGAGAGGCGCGAACGGCAGTCGTCGACTGCGACGGACGGCGAGTGGAGCAGAGAGTGGGCGAGAAGTTTCCCACCCACCCTCACCTATTTAATAGATGCGACTTCGAGATTCGTCAAACCTGCATATCCTTAATCCCGACCATATACCTCGTCGTTATCACTCCGTCGGTGCGTTTTTTAGGGGCCGTCCTACCCTACAAACGAGCCGACGCGAGTGGTTTCGGCCGCTGACAGCCAACTGAGGCGAACGCTTGGTGATAGTGGCGCGGGCAACGGGGGCCTAATTACCTTTACCGACTAACCAGCACAAAAACTCGATTCGATCCCTCAGATATGTTCCCGATGATCCAAGCGTCAGGGTCGTCAGAACTCAGAGAAAGGCCAAATGTTCCAGAGTCACTCTGCCACCGCAACATCCCGTAACGACGAGATTGAGAGCAGCTTCAGAGACCACCACAGCCCAATTCGCCACCGGTGCGGTGAGCTCAGGCCGCCAAAAGCCGTAGAGGCGCCGGCATTTCGCGCTAAGTGACAGCATCGCTCTACAGAGAGTCGCTCACTTCAGAAGATCACAGAGCGATTAGCACCTATAAGACGCGGTTCTTGCACAATGCACAAGAGGCTAGCCGCTAATACTTTCAAGTGATGGCATTGCCTTTCACCTAGAGGTCATGACAAATCGACCAGTGAGCACAAACTGAAAATAATTTTGGTAAAATTCAATGGGCAAAACAAGGATGATGTTACGCCTATTGAATGGATCTGAATGAGGCAATGACTGATGAACCAACTGCAAAGTGGGAGCACAAACGCATGTGTTTAAGTCCGCGCATTCAGCGCATATCCGCGCATTCAGCGCATATCAACATGTATAGGGTAGTACAAGGTCTTTGCAGTTTCGTTGCAGCTGTTGTTAGTTGTAACCCGTGCTGATAGCCGAACGAGTATCAGCGGATCAGCTGCCACTATCAGTCCCTCAACGACCGATAGCACACCAACCCGAATAAGAAACAAAACCATGTGAGGTCATGCTCGGGCTCTAGAGTAATCGTTGCCCAGTGGCTTTAGACTCTCAACGGGGCCACATCCTCGACAGACATCGATTTGGCACAGTTTCTATCGATAACGGCGAAACAGCGACTGTAGCAACACCGGATCATTAGCAACGCAATCTCCGCAAAAGAAGCGCAGTGATCAATTTAAATGCGCCACACTTTGCAGTTGATCACGGCATTTAGCTTTAATAGCCTTCGCGTTTACTATCATCACTCGATATTTGCATCATTTAAGCACTATTTTCAAAACGTTGTGACAAAATCGATAGAATAACAAACCCTAGCAATACGTTGCTGCCTCTTGACCAAAGTCATTGTCCAGTAACAGTTCTCCATCATGCATCCCTCTAACTAATCCCACCCAGTTCCAACGATTAGCCTTCCTCGTCCAGACCTCATGTCTCAATCTCCCCCTCCCCCCCCAGGTGTCGGAAGTACCCCCCCCCCCTCTGTGATTACAGAGCACCCGGTCAGTGCCCCGGGGTGCGACCAAATGACCTGGCTGGCCGGCCGCCAGTGTGGTCCGTCGCTTCCGTCGCGGCCTGACGTGACACCGACCGCAGACGACATGTGCCGACAATCCCCTCCCCTGCGTGGGCAGACAGACGCCCCGCCCCCCGCCCGGTCTGATTCTCAGGAGGTGGCCCCCATCCCGCCAAAGTAATCTTGATCCCGCCCGGACCCCCATCATCTGACGGTGTTCCCGTGAGCGCCGGACGCCCAGACAGACAGACAGACGGTGGTCTGTTTGAGCAAGGGTATTTGAGGAGGCCGGGGCGGTGTCGTCTAATCGTGAGATAGCCGATTGCGGCGACCTTTGGTGGTGACATAATAAAACAGTACCAATGATATCGGGGTGCAAAGTTCAATAGTAGACAGACAATAGTTGACGCGTCGGGCAGAGGGTTTCACGATGGAATAAAGTTGGACGTTGAAAGCACATGTAAATAAAATGCATCTCAAACGCAGGATTCCTCATACACCCTTGTAGCAACAGAATAACCTACTGATTTAAGGTAAAAATGAGAGCAGCTCCCTTCTCTACAAGCTACTGAGCGACATCCTAATCTCACCAAAAATCCAGTGTAACCCTCTCCATGCCTAAGTAATTACCCAAACTCTCAAGTTTCCCATTATTTCCCAAACTCTCGATTACCCCATCATCGCCCAGCTTCCATTTCCCCATCATTACCCAAACTCCCTTTTTTCCCCGTCATCACCCACTATCCCTCCATTCCCCCACCATCAACCCTCCTCCCTCCATCCCCCGTCATTACTCACGTCCGGATCGACGTCCCTGGTAAGGATGTCCACCTCCTCCGGTGTGAGCTGGTCCAACAGCTCGTCCAGGTCCATGTTCTCATACTCGCTCAGGTCCTTCCCGTACAACTTCTTATTGGCGTTCATGTCCTGTAGCCGAGAGAGTGACGTCAGCGAGTGTGACCTCATCCAGGGAACGGGTGACGTCATACAGGGCGAGTGGGATACGGACAGGGTTCAATCAAATGGCCTGCATTCGCAGCATAGTCTGGTCACCAGCATCAAAGCAAAACCGCTGCGGTCGAGGAAATCGTACGAGGATATTTTCTGAGGAAATGCGAACAGGTGGCCACAAAGGCTGCGCGTGTGGGTCGCAGGAATGCTGGTAGGATCGGTTGGATCTGATTACCGCCAGTACAATAGACGCCGGGCGGAGGAGGGGGGGGGGGGGAAGTTGGGTCAGCAGCAGACTGACTGGACCAGCCACACAAAGGAGAGTACTTGAGAGCTTAATGGTAAATTTGACACAGCAAGGAGCTTAGGAACAGGGTTCTGTTCTCAAACATCTAACGTCAGCTGAATAATACAACTCACCACACTGACAAGATAATGCCACGATGGGCTCTGGTCGGTGGGAAACCACGGATGAATGACTAAATGACCGGTAATCAGTGACATGGCTTGACGACAGTGATCAGTTACAAGCATGACAGTTGGTCAGTTGCAAACATGACAGTGGTTACAAGCATATCAGTCGTCAGCGTTAGTCCTTCACTGCAACGACACAAATCACGGCGGGGTGTGCGGTTGGACAGCTCATTCAGATGCACGGGAGAATCGTTATAGCTAAAGCTGGGTTCAGGTCAGTAGTTGCGAGCGAAACGCACAAGCTTTATAGTCTGGGCCCCGTAACGCTACTCAGTGGCAGCTCCGGGAGCTCTGAAAGAATATTTGTCGTACCCAGCGACACAACTTAGGCAGTTGTCACAAAAAAGAGCCCTTGCTGATCATTTGCTGGCTGATCATTCGCGCAGCAGTCATATGTAGACAATGAGCCACAAAACGACTTACTTACTATGTGTGCTGGCAAAACAACGCACTGATTTGGTTCGGAAGCACATTGGGAAGTCGACGTGATATACCGTGTTTCACGAATTAGCCGAAGCCTCGCGATGTACCACCTTATAGGTAAGACGGTAGTACCAAGACATCAGACAGTTTCCATGACTGGATAGTGGATACATTATCAGAAAATAGCTGCTCGTGGTCGTAAATGGGGCATGGCGATCGATCCCGCGGACCAGTTTTAGACTCAGTATACTCAATCGTACGCTAACAAGGAAAGTGGCCCACTGCCTTTCCGAGGCGCATCCGAACTGCGAGCTATGCCCGTTTAATTAGGTAAGTCTGACCGCAAAATGTAAATGCATGATGTGAGCTGAATCGCGTAATAATTTGCACCATGACTTATGTTTACCTGGAGGAACTGTTTATTTTGAAGAAGACGATGACAGGCGTAACGACCAATTAGCCCAGAACGCAAACAATTTTGCAAATCAAAATAAAGCACAGCCCCCAGTGTTTGAGCAGCATGGGCTTTCCCAAACTCGATTGGCGTGTCGAGTAACCCCGCGGGCAACATCATATCCATCAAAATTTCGGCCCAATGACTGTTCCTGAGTTTCCCAGACTGGCTCCTGCCGCTGTTAGGCGAAAGGCGGCCGTTATTAGGCGAGCGGTGAGCGGTGGCCAGACGACGACGGTGGTCCAGCGGCGCCGGCCAACTGGCGCACAACGGTAAACAATCCACCGCCGCCGCCGGGGCACCGGAACCGCCGCCGCCGCCCAGTGGGTTAGTGGCGAGGTCAGAGAAGCAGCGCGCCGCAAACGCGCCCTCAAACACGGTACGCAGTGCACACATACAAACAGACGGACATATAAACGGAGAGCAGACGGCGCGGCCGGTCCAGGTCAGGTCAGTTAGAGCGGGAGCGGGGACGGTCAAACGTGGCACATGACAGTGAGTGTGAAGAGAGGGATGAAACAGAGACAGACAGAGGCAGACAGATAAAAGATCAGAGCGCCACAGATAGCGACAAAGCACGAGACAAAAGGCAAGAAAGCAAGACATTCATAAAAAGAACGGCAGTTGCGGCCACAGCTTAAAAATGGTGGTTTTAGGAGAACGATACGAAGAGAGTGTGTGGAAAAACAGCATACAATGTACGATAAACACGAGGACATCAATGTAAGAGAAGAAAATGTGTTTTGCTTTAGTAAGAAGTGAGTAGTCAAGAGTGTAGTGCAAAAGTTGTAGACAGTTGAAAAAAATGAATCCACAAATGGAGCCACAAAAATTGGCCCCAGTCGCCTGAAAAAAAAATGTTGACGAATACGAGCGAAGAGTGAGCGATAAAAACTGCGAGGCGGAAAACGAAGAACAGCGCTGGTAATTAGACAAGTGAATGGCAGAACAGCTCTTCTGGCCAAACACCATTGATGAGTAACACACAGATGCAACGTTAGAACGGATCGCGAAGAGTCAAACGAGAAACAGTGTTGAAAGACAATAGAGAAGGACAAAGAGAGCCACTCGAGTCAGTCAAAGAGTCTGGCTGAACCGGTAAAATGTCCGACGGCACGCAACATCCGGCGAGCACACCCGGTGATCAGCCAGCCCGCCCGGCGCCGGCGACCCGTGCTGTGAGGACGGCGGGTACACCGCTGTCCCCCAGCACAGACCGCCGCCCGCCGGCTGGTCCTGCCGCCCACCAGGCGCACTCTGCCCAGGTTAGCATCACCACTGCACGCCGCGATACACCACCCGCGTTCACCTCAGTCCAGACGGCGTCACTGTGCTTGGGCCGGTAGGTGGTCTTGCGCAGTGTGCGTGTGATGGTGGTGAGCGTCTCGTACTCGTCGCCCTCGGAGTCGGTCTCAGTGCCGTGCTCCTCACGCGTTTCCACCTTCTGCTCGACGCTGGCGTCATAGTCCTCCGGGTTGTCCGGATGTTCGGTCACCAGCCGCGGCTCCGGCTCCGGCTCCGGGTCGGCGCTCAGCCGCTCCTCTGTCGCCGCCTCCATCGCGTGTGTGTCTGTGTCTGTCTGTCTGTCTGTCTGCCTGTTTGACTATCGCCGGCACGGCGGTGGATGGTGAACCCTCAGCAGCTCGGCGCTCGCACTCTCCCGTCTGTTTTTTTTTTCGTTGAGTTTGTCTATTGCGTTGTACTTGCTGTTGGCCGTAGCACACTGCTCACTTCTGCTATCCACCAGTCCTCCCGTCGGTCGCTCCTTCCGTAGACAGCACTCCGTCTCTCGGTCTGACGTCGCGCCGTCTCCAGGCTCCGCTCTCTCACTGTGCGCGCACGGGACCGGTCAGCTGCACGCGGCGGGGCACACTGACTGGACGGCACCGGCCTGGAGCGGCGCTGGCACCCGCCGCGCCGATACCGACGCCCAATCGTCGGCTCCGACGGCAGCGGGTGCCAGACGGGAGCCGGGTCGGCGCTGGCACCGGCCGCGAGCGGCACGGGGTGTGAGACGGCGCGGCTGGTGCGCCGTGTACGCCCGACAGGCGGTCATTCAGCACGGCCGGCACCGGCTGGCAACCAACCGGTCCTGGCCACGGTCAGATGGGGTGGTAGATTGGAAACAATGTCATTATACACGCTGGAAAACACCCATCCCCCTCTACACACAAGAGTATTACAAAATCCCAAGTGCGCAGCACACTGCAAACAGTGCGGCCGGAACCGCCCACAAATAGACCGACAGGTCACCAGAGAGGCCAGTGGAAACAAACGCCGCCTGAAACAACCAACAAATCCGCTACCACAACACCGTACTGCTACCGCCCAAACACTCGCCCGACGGTATTACCCGAACGGAGGGACCCTCAGACACCTGACACAAACCTGACAGACGCCACCCATCAGACACCTGACAGGTACGCATGACACAGACCAGACAGACGCCATAAGACACCTGAAACAAACCCTCGGACATCTGACACAAACCCTCAGACACGCGACAGACATGATCAGACAATCGACAGCCACTCTCGAACACTATCCAACACCTGACACACACCTTCCAGCTTCCTACAAGACAAAACCCACCTCCTACCCCTGACATGTATGTACAGTACAGTACACTATACAGCCACCAGTACCACACCAAGCACCTGCCTCGTGTGGACCGATTCAGCATGTAACCAGCCTGGAAAACACCTCCCCATAAATAATGGATCACCCTCAGTCGCTGCCGCTACCGCCGGCGGCACTGCCACGCGCCCTTACCCCACCTGATGCCAGCTCAAACGACGCCGCGCTGTCCCATCCACAACCTTCCGGCTGAGTTACGTCACCAGTATGCCATATTTGGTCATCTGCCTTCACACGGGTATCCGTCGGGACATAGGCGTACAACCGTCGAGCGGGTACGTCAGGATGGATCGGTGGCGCGCTGTTACTAACCGACCGCCGCCGGCCCAGCGATCGGTCAGCGTCGGCTGGTCGGTGGGCGTGGCACGTGACGACAACACCCCGCTGGGTGGGCCACCAAAACAGGCAGTCGGTGATACGGGGAGGTTCAAAAAGTCAACGGTACGATACAGGATAGCGTAGCTTGAAAAACCTAGACACCGCGATCATGATGCTGTGATAGACCAGTAATGGAGTAATCGTATTGAGGCATGATTAGCTCAGCACGATGGGTGGTAGGAACGGGCGACTCAACGCACTGAGCGCAGCGGAAAGGGACGGGGACCCAGTACCCACACATTGGACCACCCACTGACGTGGGCGTGGCTGCACAGTCGCGTGGGCGTGGCTAGCGGACATAGTAGCCGTGGAGCGTGACGACGCACTCTGATGAACAGGATAGCAGTCACCGACACCGCGCGCGCCCTGGCGTGCGCACGGCATGACGGCACGCCACGCCGGGGGCTCGGGTCACCGGCACACTGCACGCACACTGCACACGGGCACCGTGCCGTACCGGCAGCGCCTACATACCCGCTTCGGCGTGGCGCCGGCCTCCGAGCTGGTAGCCATGGCTGCGACACGCGCTCCTCAGCGCTCGTTCCGGCACTCGCTGGTCGGCACTGGCGGCTCGGCGGACTCTCGATCGGAGACTGGCGGCCCTCCGCCGCTGCACGGTCCACACCGGACGCCCGGTCGCCGCCGCCGCCGCTGCTGCTGCACCCACACACACTGGCCGCCGTAAGCACCGCACCGCCGGCTGAGCGCCGCCGGAGAAAGTGCCGGTCAATAGTGGCGGGGGTCACCGTGCTGCCGACTCGCCGGCGCCGGCCCGTCGGTCCCCTCAATCAATAGCGACCCCGCGCCGGTCCGGCAGCCGGGCACACCCCTAAACAGGTGTCTGACGGTAGTAAGGAGCGCTGCCGTGCACGAGCGTCTCAGTCGACCCGCCGGGGTTGCTCTCGGCTCCTTGTCTGCCGGCGGCCAATGTAGGTCAGTGGTCGCGGGCCCGGCGGCCGCTCGGTAAGGCCCGAGCAGTACCGAGCCGCGGCCAAGGTCGCCGAGAGCGGCACCCGGCGGGTCGCCTTCTGCAGCTCCGGCCCCGCGGCCTGACCTCGGGATGAAGAGGGAGCGGATGTGACCCGTGCAGCGGAGCAGATGTGACCTGCGCAGCGGAGCGTCTCACCCCTCAACTAAGCGCCCGAGAAGCGACCGATAGATCAGACAAAACCAAAGCTGTGCGAGTAAAACGAATCAAACGGAGGCAACAAAGAGAGTCATACGACCAAATATGAGTTTCCGACCATAGGCACAGGATATTGGAATCTGGATATCAGTGCCGCGATCGCCGACCGCCGGCGCACGACGGCCTTGGACTGGCCTGCAGCGGCGGGCACACGACCGGCCGCAAACAGCACTCTCGACGCCGCAAAACAGTCAGAAAAACGGCGGCGCCGGGGCGCGCGCGCACAACAGCCAGGGAAGGGTGAAGGACGCTGAGTGCCGCGGTACGGGCTGTGAGAGGGCTGTGGTCGCCGCCGCGCTGTGTGAGAGGGCCGCAATCCCACTGCAGCCACCGCTGGCAACGCTGCCCTGCGGCATGTCACCTTCAGCTCGTGCTGGAGACGCTGACAGGTCGGCCGGCGGCACCGGCGGCCGTCACGCAGCGCGGTGACGTACGTCAGATGACGTCATCGGACGGTGCTGACGTCAGTGGACCAGAACTGCCCCTGGAGCGCGGCCCGGCCATGTCCGGTGGCGGACTCACGCACAGCGGCCGCCGGAAGGCGAGAGAGACGGTTGAGTAGAGTAAAATACACTCTGACGTGCGGTAAAAGCCAAAACTCATCTCAAAGTCATCAGAACGAAGACCTTAACAGTGAATTTTATGGACTATGACAGCACCGTTCCGTGCTTCTATCCTCAGGATACTGAAATCCTTCTCCTCCACGCCGCAACCCCCCTCCGGGCTGGACAGGCAACTTTATCCCATGCGGGCTGCTCCCTTGGAGCGGCACCGCTGCTCCTGAGGGAGCGCACCCCGTAGCCGGGTGCAGTGAGTGCCTTGGGGCTGGGTGGCCTGTCCTCTGGACGGGCTCAGCCCCGGCGACTCACTAGGGTGCCTGCTCAGACCAATGTCTCCCCCTAATTCCTATCATCCTTCCGGCTCTGCAATGGTCTTGTCAGACCGAAAGGACCTAACCCAACAAAACAAACAAAACAAGACTATGACAGTTTCTCAATCATCTCCTTCATCCAAGATTACTAACGTCTCCGAAGTCCTCACACCAGCTACTGGGTGTCACGCCCATAAAAGAAAACACATACAGGCATACAGGGAGCTCTACAGTGACGGGAAAAGCCAGTCACGGCGGGAGACGGAGGAGCGTTTACCGGCGCCACGCCACCACCACCGTACGACAGGGCCACTGAGTGGGGACGGTCCCTCGACGAGGCGACGCTGGATCAACAAACAAAGCTCGTACGGGTCACCGGGAGAGGGCGGGGAGAGCGGGGAAGGAAGACAAGAGGTCACCGGAGGACAAGTCCGCGTTGTCACGATCGGTGGGAGAGTACTGACCAGCCCACGTCATCTCGAGGGCGGTACCGTGGACGCAGTGCAGCCAATGACAGGTGAGAGCGGCCGAGGGTCACGAGTTGCAGCGAGGTCAGACCCGGCGCTCGTATCACTGTCGGCATCAGAGCCGTCTCTCTGCCACTCTCTCTGCAGCTCGGTCGTTCAGCCCGTCCGAGTTCAATTGTGCCAGTTGCCGGCGCGGTCAGCACCGGGGTCCGAGCGGTGGGTATCGGCCGGTTACTGGCCGCCCGCTGGGACGACTCAACCGCGACGACCCGGTCCCAGGACACTGACTGACACAGACGGCGTGACCGACTCGCATTTCGACCTACCCAGACAATGCAACTGACTCACAGTCCCACTGACTCACAGTCCCACCTATTAGTAAAGTAATATTGATCCCACCGACTCAAAGTGCCGCTGACCCCGACGGTACGATTGACTCACAGTGTCACTGACTCACAGTTCCACCGACTCGCAGTGCGACTGACCCACACAGTGATCGGAGCCGACAAGGCCGGACCTTACGGTAACCGCACGTTGACCCAGGTCGCGGTCACCTATATCTCACCCACCCCACAGAGGCTCCCACGCAGCAGAGACAATATCGCACGGCCTATATGGAGTCTGCTCACCCAGACGCTACACACAGCGTGCGGCGGTACTGAAGTGCTGCAGCCCAACCCAGTCCCACTGAACGGAGGGAGCTATCGCCGTGCCATGGGCACTTCAGAGGCGGGCGGATGGGGCATCGACTACACCGTCCGTTCGTGGTATGACGTTACACAGCACCTTCAGCTGTGGAGTGACGTCATCCTAATATATCAGTCCACAGACGTCACGTAACTTGTTGCCGCGTATTCAAGGCCCGGACCTCATTAGCAGGGTCGCAGAAACAATACACAGCGGTCGGTCGGGGCCAAGGGTCAGGGAGGCTGGGCTTTTGGGTCAGCGAAGGCCTCATGGAGAAATGGGAGGGCCAAATGGACAAGGGTCGGATGCTTCCCACGCCGGTTAACGAGAGAAAGAGCCTGGGATAGGCTAGACATTACAATAGTCCGAGACAAGTACACATATCGGAAAGTGATGACTTGATACTAGCCATTTGTGTCACAGCCAATAATCCAAGTGAATGGCCGGGGACGAGCCGCAAGCGAAATAGACGGTCGTCACTCTCACAAACTGTCAAGGAACATCCTTTGTGCTTCAACCAGCCGCGTAATGATAAGCAAAGCAGCCTCAAGCCTGTTGCAATCAAGAGCATTTGACTACCTGCATCCACAATTCAAAGGTGATACAGCCAGCTGTGCTTTAGTTCCATTGATACGAAAAGAATACAACGCATCAAATGATAAGGACGCAATAAGAAAGTTTCTAAGAGATATTCTCACTTGTCCGACGGTGAAAGTGACAACAAGTTTCACCCAAAAAATATGTTTTTGTCCTTTAGGAATCAGGTTAACCAAACATGTCATTGACTTCTTCGTCCTTGCTCGTTGAAATTTTTTTGCATAATGCAGTTTTGTGCGAGTTAATCATAATACCATTGCGGCGTCGCTCAAACAGAAATCGATACCATGGCTAGCCAAGAAATATGACACAGTGTAATGTCATATTTATGAAAGACAGGGGAGCAATTGAGCACAGTTCACCCAGGATCTTTGGCATTTGAAAATTTAATAACACAATAAAACCATAAATAAAGTTTGTAAAATAAGTGGTAGAGGAGAGATCTTTTAGCTGAGACAGATGGAATAACGAATGGGCAGATCCATGAAAAATGCGACAGCACTATGGGTCAGTCTTATAAAAACAGAACTATGCATGCTGTCACTTGGAAAAATACGGTTGACGCGGTCTGGAATCCTAAATTACATCATGATACGTCAGATCTGACGGCCACGATAGATTACCAATCGCTCGTATTATAAACATCGGGTGAGAGATGCACAACGAACGCCACACGTTTCCAAGAAATGAAGCGGCTAATAGAGACTGGCGGTCCCAGTAGCATCGGACTATAAACACTGAATGGAGGCGGTTCCACACATTCGATCGTATAATGAGTCTAATATTTGTCTTCCAGTGACAATACTAAAGCGGTAGCCATGAGCAATACCGCTTTCGAGCAGCTCATTATGGACCAATCTGCCCCTCCTCTCTTCAAATCCAAATCAATCGACAGTCGACGCCACCAGGCCCTGTCCGCACCCGCCGGCCGCCAGGGACCCGCTGTGTCACACGATCACCGCCTCTCGCTGACAGTTCGGCTCAGTGGTACCCGGCTCGATTGGCCGCCAGGAACACCGACAGACCCTCCAACCCCGCGCTGGGGGCGGATCGGGCAGCCCACCGGCGCGCCGGTGCCGCCGACAGCGACCGCCGCGGCCGAGACGGGTTATTTCTGTGCGAGCCGGGCGGCCAGCTCGGTGCATGCAGCTTTGGCCAGTGCAGCTCTACCGCCGGCCCGGTGAAGCTCGGCCTTGCAGCTCTGCCTAGTCCTTTGCTGCTTGCTGCCTAGTCCTTTGCGGCTTTGCAGCTCTTGGAGCACAGTTCGGTCCTATATGGAACGGATGGATCACGTCTGGGGAGAGTTCTGCCGCGAGCCGTGAGGATAATTGTCATATATCCCGTAGGCAAATGGGCTGAGAGGTGGGGGGTCGCTATTCCTAGCTCAATGTCAGTGGTGAGGTCATGGATTAGGTCGCAGCCTCCTAGGTTGCCTGGGGCGCATTGTATAGCGACATGGTAGTTCAGCACTCAGAACTTCCTTGGGGTAAGGAAACGGCAGATGATCCCATGTCAGTATAACCTGCAGCCCAGAGATCACGACGAAGTACACTGCATGCCCGGTGAAACCGACGCGCGACGCGCAGTCCACCGGGCTGATCGTTGCCGCCCTGACCCGGCCGAGACGGGACACAGTGCCGACAGACACTGACCGGCAGTGTTTATAGCAGCCCGATAGTCGCCGACGACATCGGGAGAGACGTGATAGGCGTCGCCCAGAGGAGCCGTAGAGGCGGACGGGGCACACCCGAAACCCGCGATAGCGACCGGGCCGAGGGGGTAGCTGCCGCCGCACAGACTGGCAGCTAACTACTCTAAGTGTGTCTTTAGGATGTCAATAAGCATGGGCTTTTTGGGTATTTTAGTGGATGCAAAGGTATCATGTTGGGTGATACCTACTGAGCTTAAAATTTGCTGGCTTAATTGCTGATATTTCTGAATTCAATACAAAGCTATCGCACCAGCAAAGGGACAGTTTTCACACAACACATCCCACCATCCAACAAATGTTCCAATTAGACTTCACAACCACAGTCATCACATCACTATTCACCATAAAACTTCACACAGACATACACAATACACATAAACAAACGTGCACTTTTTTAAAGTCATGGATCGCCTTCACCTCCACCACAACCAAGGTGACACCACTGACCACACACAGGTTGGTTATCTGATGCTGTTGACTTGCATTCAGGGGAGGGCCCACTGTCCTGCCTTCAGGGTTTTATCCTTGAGGGGTCAGGCATGAGGGCTGCATTTTCAGACTCGATGCTTGAGACCAGTGCACCAACTCACAGGTACCCTGTCAGACAACTGGCCAGGGCTTGAGCTAACGGTGGAGCACTGGGCCAGCTCATCACCTCTTCCCTGAAAGCAACATGTCAAACAAACATTGAACACAAAAGGAGACGTTGAAGGCTGCCAAACTTCCCTAGGCTGGACACCTAGTATCCATAAAGACACCCTACATTGCAATCTTACTACAGGTGCAACGTGAATTGATCCAAAAAAGGTTGCTTGATACAAAATTTCATGTTGGAAGGTTGGGTATTCTGAGCCACTCTCAAGCTCAAACCTACCTTGACTAGGCCAAATATAATCATCAGTGACCCAAGCAACAGTTTTGTTGCACAAAAGTTTCCTTCTTTTTGTAAAGTGCTGGCAAAAGGTAAGCTGTTCATGAGACTGTTTGTTTCAATATGTTGCTCTACTCCCTCCTCCTGCTTTAACACTTAACCATGTTAGAGGCCACTCCAGATTTATAGCAGGTTAAATATGGCATGTCTTTTGCTTCAAAGCCTTGACCATAACAATACAATCAGTACCTAATTAGAATAACAACCAGCTAATTAAGATAGAGGAGCATTACATAGAAGCATCATTGCTGTCATAGCGCATCAAAAATTATAACAACGGCATCAGAATACCAATACAATTACAGAACCAGCAGGATATGATGTCCTTCATTTTAAATTTAGGACATTTATCATTTTTCTAAATTTATTTACCATAAAATTTACAATGACAGCACAATGCCAGAACAGCTCTGTCCAGCCAATGATGCGAAGACCACCAGTCCGACTTCCGACCGACAACTTTAATTTCTCCCAGATGCTCCACTAACTTCAATTGTTATCTGACCAATTCGAATTATTTTCATGTATATTTTCTATTGATATTGGGTAGAGCAAAGGATTTAATGATTCATTTGCAATGGTGACAATTATGAGCGGCTGCAGACATTTGAGACGCACACAACAAACACATTTGTGACTGCGCTGTTCGTACTGAAGCCGTTAGAACATTACCTTGATGATATTTAAGATCCTCTTGAAAGTTCGGAGCAGCCAGTGATCACAAACACTGTTAAATCAGTAAATGTGAAGAAAGTGGGCGGGCCGGTGGTGGAACGCCGTTGAGAAAAGTAGGAGTGGTCAAAGACTGGTTCACATTGGCTATTTCTGGTATCAAAACCAAGATCAAAACCACGACATGACGTCATATTGGTGGTACATACTAGAGTGTTAACGCCTGACCTATTTCTAAATTCGTGAACTTTTGCAAAAAAAAAGTAAATTTCCTGGAAGCTGTGTCATACACAAAACAAAATCTCTCCTGGAAAAACTTCGACTGATCTTTTCCTTTAGCACTGTTACGATACGATATACAAATTCTGCTAAATAATAAAACCCAAGATTACATAAAACCTACTAGGCTACTAGTTTTATTTTTAGTACTATAGTATGTTTCAAAGGCTAAAATTTGAGATTGCCTGCGGGTTGCGGGCTATGTGAACGGCTCTTATAGCGTAAGATAAGCGAGATGCGAGATCAAAGGATACACTCGGATAAACGAGGATGTATTTAGCGTATTTAGGACCTTGGATAAACTGGATAAACCACCAGGACCTGAAGCCACGGTATGCCTATGGAAACAAACGAAAGTACGAAGCGGTACATCGTCTTGAGGAGTACCTACATCGTCTTGAATAGGTAAGCCGAAAGATAAATGCAATAATGTGATGTGATCATTGTGATGCCCACAGCCCAGGCCCTAATAACTAATGTCGCTTTGATTGAGTGACCGATCCGGCTTACACGATCGCCTTACCTGACTCCAACACGAATTCGAATTCAGTGTTTTAGTGCCCATAATGGCTTAACATGAATCAGTAATACCTAAGAAGGTAGGTACCTTACGAATTACGATGCAGGAGTTGCATATAAGCTAGACAGAACAGAACATACCTTGAAGTCGTCTCTGACCCCGCCGAAGAAATTAGTCCGGCTGCCTGGCATGGTGTCGGCTCGGGTTTCCCGCTGGGTCGCTGGGGTCACGACAGGTCAGCTGCAGGTCACGGTCGCCGTCCGGCGGCGGTCGTGGGTGCTCGGTCACGCCCGGTCAGGTGTCACGGAGCGGCTGGTAGGCCGTGGCTGTGAAGTCGAATGGAGCCCGAGACGACACTGACTGCGACCGTCGCGTCTCGTCGCCGTCGTCGCGGTGCCGTTGCCGTCACTCGCGACTATTTCTGGCTCCGCGAGGGGAGCGCCAGGCCCAGGCATGGGACGAATGAGCGGGCCGGGGGAGGGACGGAGGGAGACAGCATCCGGGCTCTGGTGGCAGCCTGTCAAAACAGGCAGGGCAGCCCTCTGACAAGCGGCGCCTGCTGTTTTCCCTTGTAGGGATCATCTATGCGATTTGTCATTTCATATTGTCATTTTCATTTATATTGTCACCGCTTTATTAATCAATCTGTTACCTGTTGTCAATTGCGCGTCAAGTTTGTTTGATATTTGTAAACCGGCCTGCCGCTGGCCTCAACCTTCCTAGTAACCGCTGTGCCATACGCTATAGAACGTGTCGTGCAAAGGTCACGGCGGCACCCCTGAGGCGGCCGCTGCCCGTACGTTTAGGAGCCTATTGTCGTGACGTCACGCCTGTGAACAAAGGTCACGGTAGGGGCTCTCCCGGCAGCCGGACGGTGACTCATACGTTGAGCTTGTCTCTCGCCGCGCCTGCGGGCATATTGGTAGTACTAGGGACGGCCAGCATATGACCGCGGCTTTCGGCGACATTGCCTCACTGGGTCCAGGCGTGCCACTGCGGCAACTAGGTGATAGGCTACGGCATTTTGAGCGGCTGCTTTCAGCTTTTAGATCCCCGGCTGTGTGCACCCGTCTTTATTAAGACGGGTGACACACCGGCGGCGCTAAAGCCCCGCATAGAAGTGCTCGTAGTAGGCAGGTAATTTAGGATCGTTTTCGTTTTCTTCCACTCCCTCTCTTCTAGGGACATTCTGTCCCACAACCCCCCACCTCTTTCTCTCTGATCTTTCGTCGTTGTCTGGGGGCCTCCGAGGTTACCGGCAGCGCCGGCCCTCTTGCCCAATTTTTTCATCCGGATCGGACTAATTTTGCTATTTGCGGTTCTGCCCGCTATTGATTCTTCTATTAATAATAACCAGATATAAACACAAATTAACCAGAGTAACATGCCTTTCTACCAGGATGAGGGGGCGGCCTCACTGCCCCCCTCCGAAACCATCCCTGACGGCCCAGCTTTCGTGCTGGTAAAAAAAACCACCAACAACCTAACGTTCAAAAACAGCAACCCGTTTACCATCAAGCGGTCCTTGGATCGCCTGTGCGGCCCCGTCACCTCGGCTAAGGCCGTACAGTCCGGGTCCCTTCTGATCCAAACGAAAAACAAAGAGCAGACAGAGATCCTCCTCAACATGACGACGTTCACCGACCAACCCGTGACAACCCAACTCGCCCACCGACTGAACTCAGTGGAAGGTGCTCTCAGGAGCGAGGCGCTGACGGAGCTCAGCAACGCTGAGCTCCTCGACGAACTCAAGGAGCAAGGCGTCATCAAAGTCGAAAGGCTCAGGTCCAACAACATCGAAAAGATGGGTCCTAACCCCACAATAAGACTATGGTTCGCCGGGCGGGACCTCCCGCAAGTCGTGTATTGCGGCTACTTGAGAGTCCCGATCACGCCGTGGGTCTACGCCCCTCGCCCCTGCAAAAACTGTCTCATGTATGGCCACAGTGCGCGGGCGTGTCGTCGCCGCAAACCGCGGTGCGGACGCTGTTCCGAGGAGCACCCGACGGAAGGGTGTAAGGCTCCCCCTCTTTGCTTCAGTTGCGGAGGGCCTCATCCGTCTTGGGATAAGGGGTGCCCCGTTGTCCAAGATGCAAGCCGTTGGCACCGGGAGGCCACAAGACAGGCAGCCAGGGAGCACCACATGAAACAGAACAGCCGCACAACGAACGCAACAGTCACACTGGATCCAGCTGAGTGGCCCCCGCTCCCGGCAGTCCGCGAAAAGGTCCCGCCGCCGCGCCCACGCCCTCCGCGCCCAACACAAACAAGCGAGGACACGCCTCCGCCGGCGAGGCCGCCACCTCCCCCTCCACCGGTGCGGAGCGCCCAGCGCCCTCCGACCCCACCACGAACACCACCACGACCACAGACCACACCCACACAGACACCGCCGCGTCCCCCTCCACCGGTGCGGAGTGCCCAGCGCCCTCCGACCCCACCACGAACACCACCACGACCACAGACCACACCCTCACAGACACCGGACGCGTCACCAACCACGACACTGGAGCCGGACTCGCCTCTGTCCGAGCGGACGGGGACCAGCGCTGCCACCTCACCCACACACTCCATCCCACCATCTGAACCCGCCACTGACACAGAGTCGGAGACGGTCAGCCGGGCCCGACCCATGACCCGTCTCTCAGTAAAACATAAATAAGCAAACATGAGTAACCACACTGAACAATCACGGCCTGAATTCTTTCTCCAATGGAATACCAGCTCGCTGGTATCTCATTGGGGGGAATTCAAGAACTATATCTTGCATAATAAACCGTTACTTGCCGCCATCCAAGAAACCAGATTCATAGACTCTGACTCGACTAATTATAATTTCAACATTCGTGACTATTCTTTGTATACAGATAACGTAAATGAAACACCTCGCCGGGGCGGCTCGGCGCTTTATATCTCAAATAATATCTTGCACCACCAAATTCATCTCAATACAACGCTTAACGTTGTAGGAGCTAAAGTAAAAATAGCACAGCGTGATCTAACTGTCCTCTCTATCTACCTCTCTCCTACCTACCCATTGAATCCTAAACACCTCTCCGAATTGATTTCCCAGCTCTCCCCTCCTTTTATCATAATGGGAGACTTTAACGCCCAAAATCTAACATGGGGATGCACACGCAACGACACAAGAGGCAGACAAATACTTAACGTAATAGAAGCACTTGATTTGATACCACTCACAAACAGAGTACCAACACACACACGCATTTCTAATGGCGAAGCCTCACATAGCGTCATCGACTTCGCTATCACGGACACAAACACCGCGACACTTTTCACCCAATACACTGCAGATGATACCCTATTTAGTGATCACTTCCCTTTGCACTACTCCATTGATGTTCCTTCAGAACAAACAAATTTTAACTTTCTCCCAAGATGGAATTTTCGGAAAGCCGACTGGGCTAACTTTCAAAAACACATTAACGTAGAATGTAGAGATCCCCCTAAAGATATTAACACTTTCCTTGACATGATACTTAACGTAGCAAAACAGACGATTCCTCTCACTCGACCCCCCATCCCCGACAAAAATTCTCCCTGGTGGAACTCTGATTGTCAAAGAGCAGTAGCACTTCGAAGGCGAGCAATGCGTGTCTTTAGACGATGCATCTGCGACGCACACGCGGAGGCAGCTCGTAAGGCTCGACGAGAATCACGTGAAATTATTTTGAAAGCCAAAAGCTCAAGCTGGCAGCAATTTGCTAACACTTTTAATAGATTTACCCCTCTTTCGAAAATATGGTCCCTGATTAAATGTTTCACTAAAAATCGCACCTATTACAAGGTACCCCACCTTTACATTAACAACATACATTACATCATCCCCTCAGAAGTAACTATTCAATTTGCTATCCACTACGCCAATATCTCTTCTGAACAGCAATACCCACCACAATTCACCACAACACTTGATACACACCTCAGTACACTCTCATTCGACTCACTCAACAACGAACAATACAATGCACCATTCAGAGAACATGAGCTTCACTCATCACTTGCCAAATGTGGAAACACATCGGTCGGTCCAGATCAGGTCGCATACCAATTCTTCAAAAATCTCCCTGAATCTGGACTTGCAACTCTCCTGGCTAATATAAATCAACTCTGGGAAAGCAATTCATATCCTCCATCCTGGCGCAGAAGCATTATTATCCCAATCCTTAAAAATGGCAAACAACATTCTGATCCTGCAAACTATCGCCCAATATCCCTCACAAGCTGTGCATCAAAACTAATGGAAAGAATGGTTAATGGACGAATTAGGGCTTATCTGGAGTCCAATAATCTACTTTCTCCATATCAAACAGGTTTCAGACCTAGGAAGTCAGTATCCAGTAACATAACACATCTTATTAACTCGATACAGATTGGATACCAACGTAAAGAGTACACAGTAGCAGTATTCATTGATTTCAAGAATGCATTCGACAAAGTAAATAGGAAAGCTCTACTTATTAAACTACACAAAACAGGCATACGGGGTCATATGGCCCATTTCATCAGTAACTTTCTTTCTAATCGCACCTTCCAGGTTAGGTGTGGGAACACATACTCACCAGATTACATTCTAGAACATGGCCTACCACAGGGCAGCGTCATATCGCCTACACTTTTTACAATAATGATAAATGATATTTTCGATGATGAACCATCTTATATTAAGCACTCTCTCTTCGCTGATGATATAGCACTCTGGTATACTCATCATAACCCTAACATTGGAATCGAACAAATACAACACTCACTTAATAACATAGGAAAATGGTGCAAGAAGTGGGGTCTTACGATCTCACCTAGCAAAACTGTCGCAGTGATATTCTCCCATCGTTTGCTACGTGACAAATGGCGAAACCTCACACTAGATAACAAACCAATCAAATACGTACAAAAACACAAATTTCTAGGAATAACTCTTGATTACACACTTAACTTCAACGCTCACATTGAGGATCTGGTACAAAGGTGTACCAGAAGAATCAACATTATGAAATGCATCGCAGGCAGAGAGTGGGGTGCGGACCGACGCACACTCACGCAACTCTACGTAACCCTAATTCGTCCAATCTTGGATTATAACAGTTTCTTATACGATGATATAGCTTCGAGCCGTATTGACAAATTGCAAACAATACAGAATCATGCACTCAGAATCATCACTGGTGCCCTGCGCACTACGAGAATAACAGCCCTACACATAGACACAAACATACCCACACTTGACAGGCGCCGCAAATTCCTATTGCTGCGCTATTATATACGATGTGCCTCCCGCCCAGATGATATCGCCTACCAAATTCTCACAAACACCCAATCGAACTCGTCACTCACAAATCAGCGTCGCTATCCACTGATCTCTCGTCGCCTCCAGAAAGTAATTGATCACTTTCAAATAACCATTCCAACGATATTGCC